GTGTGTGTCTGTGTTTGTATGTGTATATGAGTGATTTGGAGAAGGTGGGGGGTTCTGTCTGAGATAAGGAGCTATTGAGTTTCCTCCATTTATTTTCGCACTCCGTAGGTGTTTGCCTTCTACTGCCTGGCCTCCAATCTCCAGGCCTGCTGCTTTGATGTCAGCATGAGTTCGCCAGCAACCTGCAGAGGAAAAACAACAATAACAGAGAGTGTGTTTATGCAGCAATGGTCCTCTGCATGCTCTCATTAATCTGCTGAAACTGTGTGAAATTGACCAGTTTTAAAAATGTTTGGGTTTCGAAGATCAGGCAGTCATGTTAGTTGACTGCTTATCCCTGCCAACAATTTTTTTCCTGTGTGCTGAACTGAAATTGAAAAATAGCTTTGTAATTCCTAGAGGAAAAAAAAGAAAATGTCATATTTTATCTTTCAGTAATGTTTTTTGGACAATAAAAACAAACTGCCATTTTTGTTTTGTTTTAGGCCAACAGATGTCAAAGTGAAAGCCTCAAATGACAAGAAATTGTAGTAAGACCATTATTCTGTTTCCCTCCCACACTTTAGGCTGTGCAATATATATATATATATATAGTATTTCCAGTAGGCTCAAATTATTTTAAAGTTTAAACAAATGCATAGAAACCACACCAATTTACATACATTTATATTGGGCAACTACACCTATTATGTCCTATTAGATGTTTTCACATCACACATCGCTTGCTGTGACCTTAAATGGTCCACTTACAAAAAAATATTAGTATTATTTTCACAAGCTTTACTTATTCACATCACAGTTTACATATAAATTACATTGCCAATGGCAGTTAAGACTTTACTGGTTTCTGGTATCTGTGAGTTATAGCTCGTTTGTTTGCACTAGGGGAACTGTGACAGTATCTGCAGAGGTGCTGTTTCTAATAGCTGGAGGTGGTGGCGGGGTTCAGTTAATGTGTTGAGCAGCTCAGATGTGGGTCGACCCTCCAGACAGGCTCAACACACTGCCTCCTGGTCCCCGACTGGGCCAGACGTCTGCAGGGGGACAGAGGTCAGGCCTGGCCTTCCTGTGCCCTAACCCTCCATGGGTGCCCACTTACCCTCTGAGTAGGGGGTCCCGCTTGCCTGTCACTCACACTGCCAGGACCTGTTCCTTTTTTCTGTGCCTCTCTTCTGGTTCATTATCTCCAAATCTCTCTCACTCTTGCTGTTTCTAAACTTTACTTGGTCTCAGTGTCTCACTTTATCGCACTCTGTTATTTTTTCCACTTATCTCTTTGTCTCTTGTCCCTCTTTTCCTTTTCTGCTACCGTCATCTTTGGTCAACAGCTGAGTTGACATGCCTGCAGGGGAAACAACCCCCCCTTTTCCTGGTCGTTCTGTCTTTCCCTCCTTCTCTATCCCTCCATCCCTCCCTCCCTGTCCTGTGCCCTGCCGTGGCATTGGAGGGATCAGTTTACCCGACAGCAGCTGAGGCAGGCTTCATTTGTCCCAGGGCTTCCCTCTGAAAAGGCATTTTTCGCCTCTGGAGAATTGCTCACTGCCCACGGTGACATTGAGCGCTTAATTGCGCTACTTCCAAATTTGGCAGTCTTGTTCTTTAGTGGCAGTTTGAGTTGTTGAACTCGATGTACTCCTGGCCTGCAGGGATATGCGAGTCTACATGGGAGGGAAACTGTTTCTAATTCTAATGTTCTCAAATAGTGTATTGTGATGTAAACTAAACACCTCAACATGTGAGCATGTTTCATTATGAACTTAACTCATCTAAAAATATACCTTCTCATTTATCTCTAAATGTTGCAGATGCAACTTTTGAAGTGATGACAAGTTACCAAATTAAATGTGAATAATGAGCAACAAATTAACATCTTATTATTTGCCAATCTCTAGTATTTGGAACCTTGATGAAGTATTTATTATTCCTCCCCTTATGTTTACCAATTCCCACCACTCACTGATGGGGAAAAAACTGCTTGCATAGTGCAGCTCTACCGCAAAGGCCCTTACTGAAGTTTAGTATAAATATTTCTGCCAGAGCCTCTCTCGTCTCTTTTGGCGATTGTGTGTTTACTTTACCGCACTGGGGGATACTTGCTTCTCTGTCAGTGTGTCCACAACTCAAATTATGCAAAGTATGTTTAAAACCTAATCTTCATTACTCAACCACACAGAGAGAAAGGGGTTCATTGTCATTAAATAGTGTCAGAACCAGGAAATGTGTGTTAATTGTGCGGGGTACGTTTATGTACAGTATGTACAGCATGTGACTTGGCTGAAAGGTGTGGCTGTGGGTTTTCATTTGCTCATTTGAGTATGTGTGAATGAAGTGTGTGTGTGCATGGAGTAGCCAAATATATTTGATTTTCACACCTTCAGTGTTTACATTTGTCAGGATAAGGAGTGACTCCTGAGACACTCTGCCACGCTGATCCACCGTTTAAATGCTTAACATATGTGATTGCCTCCTTCCTTTGTCCGGATTGTCTGACTAACTCACCGCCCGGGCTAACTGTGAAAAGGTTACTGTGCTGCAGTAACCCCTAATCAAAGCCATACTGGGGGTTAACTCGCTCAACCCTCCACCTTTTTCTGACTTTTCTATTTTTAGAGTGGTTCTAATATGTGTGGTTTCTTTTCTTTCTTTCATTTCTTCCTACCATCCTCTGTTCCAGGCTTATGTCTACTGTGAATATGAAAATGAGGTATTTGTTCAATTACACATAGTAGTTGTAGAGGAGTAGAACTTTAGCTGTAGTCATAGTATGTTGTTTGTGCTTTGATTTTGATGTAGTTGGCTGTTCTCCCGTTTTCCAAATTCATAATTTATGGTTGACAAGGTTTTTACATTAGAGCTGGTTGTATTCCAAATTTAATAAATATTTGTCCTCTGCATACAAAAACAAATTTTAGTCCCATTACCTCTGATAATGAACTGTTGAATCAAAAGCTGTGAACATGCAAGTCCCTCCCAAAACTTGGAAACAAGACAACAAGCCTCCACTAAAACTTGGAAACACGATGACCAAGACCCTCTGGAGAAGGTGACAATCTGCTAGTAGAAATTTTACAAGTCCACAAAGTCGGTCTCTTTATTGTCAATGGAGCTTCTCCAGGGTTTGTCACTTGATGACATCAGATATAAGAGCTGGGGTTTTCTGCTTTAAGCTTTAGGAGACATATTGCTAAATAATATCAGCAGGAACAACATGGGGACTCCCTATTAGACCATTTTTGTGCATTTGTGGGTTTGCTACGTTAAAGTTGTATTTATCCCAGCAGTAGATCTAGTAAAAGTCCTTGGCTGTTAGTCTTTTAACCACAATCTCCTGACCCACTCCATTGTTTGTCCGCAGGTCCCTATTGTTCTAATTGCACCTCACGTCTTAGTCAAAGTGCACCCACTAGGCTCAGACACACTTCAAGCTGAACCAATAAATAACCTCCTCATTCCGAATCTTGGCTCATTTTGTTTATCTTCAGGCTCATCTTTGAAGGGGATGTCCATTTCATCGTCATTCCTACACACACATAAACACACTCACAGATCTTGTACTTGCATTCCTGGGCTTAACAGGCCGCTGGTCTCTGAGTGCAGATGACATGTGCTGTTGTGGAGGAGAGACCTTCACCCCTCTCATCCAAGGACCGGAGTTTATTTGTAGAGCCCATGGAGATGGTTGTTAAATGGGGATGGGAGGAAGGTTAGTAGGAAGGTTTGGTGTGAAGGGGGGCTCAAAAAACAGCAATCTATGGTAGCTGCTCTGCTAATCACTGCTCTGACTAGTGTGCACACAGCCATGCAGGAGAAAAGATAGTCTGCTTACATGCACACCAACAATTTGATTACCCTCAATAGCCAGATAAAGGTAGCGATCCCTATAACTAGAGGTTAAGTGATTTGTTTGGTAATTGATCATGTGTGGGGAGATGTGTGCTATCCTGCTAGCTAATATCTTAAGCTCCATGAGGTGATAGGCAGAGAATTAGGGATTACACTTTTTTTTTCAACTTTTTGACTTGACTAATAATGATTAATTGAAATGACACCTCAACACCAGAACTGTTTTTTGTAGCTTAAGTTTGAACATTGTGGATGCATGAAAACTGCACAAATATTATCTTTCAGACACTACGACCACCAAACTCTATTGTATTACTGTACTATTCTTTTACACTACTGTTACATAAAGTATTACTTAAATCAGAGCAAATCTAAATGCATCAGTTCTGCAGAGCTCTGTGTTTACTTCACTGTCTATCCTCACTGACATTCATGTTTGTTTTTTCATCAGGATGACCACGAGAGCGGCTCTAGCTCCACCAGTCGCAGTGTCTCAGACAGCTCCAAGGCCGTGGCCAAGCCCCGCCGCCTCCAGCAGGCTGCCCCCAGCGACCCAGACCTGCCCCCAGGTGAGTGATGGCCCTGGGGCCAGTGAGGCTATTCCAACTCCCTGCTCAGAGAATGACCACCAGGACAGGCACGGCCTCAGTGGGGGAGGATGGGGCCACAGAGTGAGACAAAGATTAGGATGTATTTACACTACAGGGAAAGCTTGATTTTTCTTTCTAGCCTCTAAGAATGCTGTAGAGACAAAGTAATTGGGTTTAAATCCACTGGCTTGTTAGTAGCCAAATACCTGCAGTGGTCAGTGTCAGATTCAATTGTAGGTAAAACAGGTTTACACTGGGAGAAGTATTCTTTTTGGGATGAGCTGTGTTGCGGTGCATTTTTTCACCAGTGTAAATCAGTCAGAGAGAGTGTGGGGGATGTGTCTGTGATAAATCACATAGTGATGGCTCTTATCAACAAGGCCACTTGACCACATGCCTCCTACAGGGCCAGGGATTCCATGCCTGCCTTACTCTGCACTTTACTGCATCTCACAAAGAATGGTCTTGTTTGATTGGGGCTGGATAATGCCCTTTTAAAAATATTTATTTTGACATTTTTTAAAATTAATTTGTAACTGTCTTTTAAAAAGAAAGACACACAGACTTCATATTAGCTAGTAAGGTTTTTTATTTATGTTTATGGTGGTACAGACAATTTAAATGATGTTTAAATGTATGTAGTGTAAGTGAAAAAGCATGCACAACCTCAGTAATCTAATTTAAATACTCAATAAACACTTCATAAAAGGTATGCAACAACCTCTCAGAAACAACAGCATGGAAAATGTTTCCAGAGAAAACTTTTAAAGTGAGAAAGAAGGTGGGACAGGAGAAAGAAAAATATAAAGAAATAAAGTTTATATAAGGAAAAAAAAAAAGAAAAAGAGCGGTGGAGAAGGTCTTGAGCTTTAAGAGCTAGGTCACAGTCTTACACCCAAGCATAAGGCTCACTCCCAGAGCCCCAGTCTGCATGAATGTATGAACCTACACTCCTGGCTGGTTGTATCTGGGGAGGATCCATTTCCAGGCCTGACGTTATGAGATAATATCTCTCCCCAGCTGTTAAAGCAGGGTGCCTCACACCCCCAGCATCTCCCTTTGGGCCTACCTCTAACAGATCTCCCAGGTGTGTGTGTGTGTGGTGTGTATGTGTGTATGTTTTCAGTGTATCTGTGTTCATTTGTGTGCAAACCCCACACTGTTCCAGCCGTGGACCTTGTTTCAACCCATTATAGGCTGTAGAGACAACTCTGAGGTCAAAGGTTGCATCACCTCAATAACAGCGAGGAAGCAGTTGAATGCTGTAATCCCAGCCTTCCTAATTAAAAGGTAGAGGTTAAAAGGTAGATGAGGTAAAACTAACCTGCTATGACTCAGACAGAGGATGTTTTACTAAGAATAAGATACAAAACAAACCTGTCAGCAGTCTTTAATGTAGTTAATGGATGTTTTTTAAAAGTGAGGACATGGCAGCGCACACAGGCAATTTTGTAGACATTAATTCATTAGTCTTGTGAATGCGTTATTTTAGACTTGTTATAATCCACTGGCATGGATACAGATGATGTCCTGAGTACAGCATTTCTATTTGAAACAGGTAAAATATCTATGATCTGCATAATCTTGAAATCTTACACATACTGTATATCCTGAAATATACTGAAATGCACAGCGCTACTTCTAGTCTGCCACAATCTGTGTTGATTCTACCACTGAAGAGGTCTGAGAAGTCACCAAGGGCAGAAATGTTCAAATCCTACACATGAGGGCTTTAATGAATCAACTAACAGCTGTATGAAGCCCATTTTGTTTCTGATCCTTTGTTTGTGTGCTCAGGGTATGTTTCTGTCCAAAATGCCCTATTGGATACTCTTAGAACCATTTAGTGTTGGGACTTACTGAACGTTGAGGAAACCATGGAGCACATACAAAAAACAAATAGCTGCCAAAAATTTCAGTTAATGAGTTATGGTGAGTTTAAAAAAAGTTGTTTTGTGTCTATTTTTGTAGGTTAACCAAACCTCTTAACCTCTTGTTGTGGTTCAACAATGCAGTTTAACTTTAGTATTTTGTTCATGATTAAAGACAGGCTGACAAAAGCTTGTTAAAAGCTTCATGCCACATCAGATCCACACTCCTCTTTACTCATTATGTAAGTATTACTATTATAACACATATATTAGATAATACACTACAAGAAAATACAAATTTTTTTGCTATAAGCATATAATTCTATTTGTCAAAGATATTCTAATTGCTTTAATTTTGATGTATGTCCACTCTAGGCCAAGTGTGCACAGTGCAGCTGTATTATGTAAGAAATAAAATCTAATAATATTATAACAAAAAGATTGTTTTGGACTTGCTTTTGGGAAAACAAATCAATATTAGAGGATTAAAAAACAGGTGATTCGGACATTCATGTTCTAGCTTCCATCCTTTTTTGAGCCCCATGAATGCTTTCCTAAATTGGAAGTTAGTTGCACTTGTTGCAACAATGCTTATATCTCAGAAAGCAGCGATGGACACAAGACAGATGTGTGTGTGTGTGTTAGGAAGACCAATGACCAATCTTACGTCTTTGTCAGCATCTACATCGAGAAACCTCTGTGCTGCGTCTGCTCCCCTCCCCTTAAAAACAACCAAAACAAAACACGGGCCGACACTAAAAAGCAGCCACCAGCAATTATCCAGTCATTTGGCCCTAAGCTCTCACATACTGAATGCATTTATCCTCCCTGTTCTCCCTGTGGTGGAAAATAGTGATGTTAATTCATATACCATGGGATTGGTAGCCACACAAAGACCAAAGACCAAGTGCTTCCACCTTGGGCGATTCTGTGAGTGATTATGTTTACTGCTGCTTGTGGGGGACCAGCGGCCACCGTTTGTGAGAACCGCATTTCTCTGTTCGAGGGGATTCCTACTTTGGTCCTATTCACACTGTTGAAAATGTGTTTTGTTTTATATCAGTTCAAAGAGATTTAATAGTGGCGAGGCTTGCTTTGAGTCTAGTGCTACCTGTGAGATGGGTGGATCAAAGTTACACGTAAGATTTATATTTTCAAAGCCACAAAAATGTTACGTATAAGAGCAGTAGGACATTAAGTATGAAGTGTCTTTGCAGTATGACAGTTTGTTTAGGTAAAGGAAGCTCGTACATAGCTGTGATTGGAGACACACCCCATCTGTTAGAAGATCATTTTTAAATTTCTTGCCAAATTCTGCTTGTCACATGTAAATAGCTTATTTTGTACTTTTGATTGAAGCATTAATGGACACTGCATCTGCAAGCATCATATTAATTTGTATAAGTTACACTGACTTGTGTATAGTCATCTACTAATGTTTATGCTGTATATCAACCTTTTACTCCTAATGGAAAAGGTTGATATACAGCAAAAACATTGGTAGAGCATTTGGTGGGCTGAACTGATATATTAGGCTGGATCACATAGTATGGGGACCAAATTCCATTCCTAACCATTCTTATTGTGTTGGATGATTTGATCTCTTAAAATAACAAGCACTTTGTTATTTCCTACCCTGCTGCAAAAGCACAGAATGACTGGATGAATGACTAGAGCTGCAACGTTTAGTTGATTAATTGATTAATTGTTAACTGTTAAATGAATCTGCAACTATTTTGATTATGGATTAATTGTTTTGAGTCTTTTTTGGTCCAAATTTATGTTGCCTTGGGTTTTGGGAAACCATGATTAACATTTTTCACCATTTTCTGACATCTTGTCGACCAAACAACTAATTGATTACTTGAGGAAATAACAGATTTATCCATAATGAGAATGATTGTTAGTTGCAGCTCTAATTATGACCTGGGCAAAGTTCACTGTGCATGTGGGTTTGTTCATCCCTACTTTTGCTGTGCAGTGTTTCTGTTCTTACATATATGTCTGTATGTACTAATAAGTGAGTTCATACACCTACATTTATGTGTCAGATATGAGGTTTTCCAAGAATTGTGCATCCATGCATGGTTGAGTAGGTATACGTGTGATTGGTGGAGATTGAGATTTGCATGGCCTGAAATGCAACACACTCCTGAGATAAATCGGTGTCCCAGTGCTACTGCTGTCCTGGTACTGGGGCCTTTGTTTAGAAAATAAATACAGCAGCTGTTCTGGTATTACTGGAAAATGCTACTTATGGATAGAGAATATCCCATACTGGCAAAGCCTGGAGCTTTCTCCAGCTGGAGCTTTCCTATGTCCTGGAGACCTGCTGTACCATGCATGGTTGGGTTGTGTGAATCTACAGTTGTACTATAAGAGGCCCTAGAGCTAATAGAATGGCTAATATAATTAAGTGGCTTGTTTGTTAGTGATAGTAACGTTGTAATAATATAGACTTTCAGTGTTTCTGCAGTAATGGCATGGTGGAAGTGAGGTCATTGTACCACTGTTTACATTCCTGGTATTTTATATTTTACAGATAAAAGATACAAATTAAATGGGAATTTTATAGAAGTTTGTGAATTATGCTCCACAATTTAAAGGTGGTAGCACACACAGTAGCTACTGTGTGTATTCTCTTAGCTACATTGCTAACTGTACTAATTACATTTCAGAATAACACAGCAGGACTAACTTACAGGACATTTATTGTCTGATGGACTTGTCAATCTTTCTCCATGGCTAATAACTGGCAAGCCTGATAGCTGCTAATACTTTCCATATACAGGAAAAATGGTGAGCATGGACAGTATAGTGTTTCTTTCCTGTATTGCACAGAAGAGAGTTGGCCTGTTCTGAGATCACATAAAGGAGCTGGTTTTTCCAGTCATTTTATGGTTGAACAGTTTTAAGTGGGCTCCTTCCCTGTGGGCCGCAGCACAGGTGCTGGCTGTGTCAATTGTTTACAGAAGTTCAGAGCAGCGCGATGGCTCGCAGAGAGACGGATTGGGGCCCTAGACTTAGTGCAAGGCAAGAAGAGGTATAACAAGTGTAAGAGAGTGCAAGAGAGAAAGAGAGACACCCTGACACGGGTAAATTAGATCCAGAGAGGGAAATGGCAGGGGGTAAAGTGCTGGTTTTACTGCCCAGGCTGCAGGTGCGATAGCAGCTTTCTGACTGACCCCAGAACCACAGGCACACACACACACGCACACACAGCCACATTCATGCACGCAAGAGAGCAGCCAGGCACACAGTCAAACTCAAGACAAGCACATGCATGCATGCAAGGCCACGCACAAATGTCACGAACACACATTGCGTTTATGAGTTGAGTTTATATTATGTCATCCTCTCTTCCTGCCACTCTGTTTGGTCAGGCAGCAAACTCTTGAGATTTTGTCAATTGGATTATGCTAATGCGTAGTCAGACCTGTGTACAAGTGGCAGAACAGTTAACCAATTCATATAAATATTTTCATCAACAGCACCATTTAGTTCTGCCTAATTATCGGTTCTGTTATGCCCTGGGCCAGCCATGTAGATACAGGAAGACAAACATTTGGTTTGGAAAATAAGGGAAAAGCATTAAAGGTTTATATGTTTTAACTTGTAGTGACTGTGTTTAACAGTACATGGGAGGAATGAATAATGCCATTGGTCCTGTGGTTAGGAGGATTTATTGCTGTATATTTTCATATTTTATGGTCGAAACTCCCCTGTCTGTAATATTTTAAGTTCTTTCTTACTTCGTTGAGTAATGACCTTACCATGTATGTTTTTCCTGCGAAGCTTCTGTTTCTGGGCGTCACTATGGCCATTAGGAGGTACTGGTAACACTACAGGATGGCTCCCCCAGCTCTGCTGAAACACAATCTGTCGGACTGCTCTTTCTCTCCTGCTTGTTCTTGATTACTACATCCATCCACCTCTTCACCACAAAGCCGCCGACCCCCACCTTTCACCCTCACCATAAAATCTGTTTCTATATTCCTGTTTCTCTCCATTTGTACAACATTAATATTAATAGATCTTGCTAGCCATCAGCACAAAAATTCAGTTGCATTCAAATTTTAAGTGATGTCATAAACTTGTGCAGTTAAAATGAAGGTGTATTTACTATTTTCCCACAGTTTGCCAATTTTTGTTTTGTTTTTTTCTTCTCAACATTGGCAGAACTTGTTTGAATCCTAAGAACGTAGTTTGATTGCACTCTCAATAACTCCTGTATAAATATGTATAAAGTCCTGTATTTTGTATTCGTGAGTGCATGTGTGCACTCATGCTTGTGTATGTTTAAGTGAACACGCAGGCTCCTCAGTGGGTTTGGGAGGGATATGTGTGAAGCAGCATGTGCATAGTTTTGGGTTAAACAGGACTTTGCCTCTGAGAAGAGAGGAGAGCTCTTCAGAGATTCATAAATTCACCCAGGATTTGTAGCACTGCTCAGGCAGGGTGAGGAGCAGAAATGTTTTCTTACGGATATTTAGCTCCTCTCACTGTACATGTCCAATGGATAGACTGTGGCGAAAAATAACATGTCAGGACCTCCTCTTATTTATGAGCCTTTGAGGGTTTCAGGGGTCAGTGGCATTGAGCCAAGACTTTCAGGGAATGCGGCTCTAGATTTGACTTTTTTGGTGTCTCAACATTAAGTTAATGTGTTCTGTTAATATAGCTACTACGTATGTTCCCCTGTGTGCATGTGTCTCTTTGTGATGAGGTATGCTTTTCTAATCCTTTTATTTTTCATACATTTTAACGTGTTTTCCCATGTGTTTACAGGTTACGTACAGAGTCTGATCAGGCGTGTGGTGAACAACGTGAATATTGTTGTGAACAACCTGATCCTTAAGTACGTGGAAGATGACATCGTGCTTTCAGTCAACATTACCTCTGCAGAGTGCTACACTGTAGACGATATATGGGAGAGGGCCTTCATGGACATCACTGGTGAGCAATGACTGCTTACATTCCTTGGTAGTGGGATTAACTAGTAAATCCACAGAGTCGAGAACCTATAAATTACAGTAAGTGTTTAATTTTGTTAGTTCAAACTAAGGTCAAACAGACATATCAGACAAGTTTAAACCTAGCTGTTTTTGTAAATGCCAATGTCAGCTGCCACAGTAGTCTCATATTCAGACTTTTGATAAACTCCACAGTCCGATTGGAGCATGAGTAGGTCCAATGTAGCGTGTGCTTTGACACAGAAAAGAGCTCAAATTTAAAACCACAAATGATGGATGAAGTGGGGGATCTTAAACCTAAGCATGCCACTTGGAAATAGAACAGTAGGAAGTGCAACCCTCGTGGGCCCTAGCTTTTGATGTTTACATGGTTTGTGTGTATTTTTGGTTTCAATTTCTTAGAGACACTGATTTCTTATAGGAAAGAATGACAATGTTAAACCAAGCTGATCATTTGTGTTGGAACTCGTTGACCAGTCCTTTTTACCAATGGCGTTACCTATCCCTATTATGGATAGATAGATAGATGATGTTTCTCAGTATTGGACAGTGACTTGTGCACCTAGTCTATATCCATTCTCTCTTAAAAGTCTCCATGGTAGAGCAGTATCTGATGGATGGTTCGAATTAGAGCAGAACACACATAGCATGGACAATCTCAGACTACAAGGAACTCTTTCCTTTGAAAATGAACTTATTCTTTAATGGTGCACAGCTAACAGGGAGCTTTATGTCACACAAACCTGGCATATATATATATATACATTTCTTGTAGATGTTCCAGGGTGTCCGCTGGTCTTAAAAAGTCTAAAACCCAATAATCTGAATTTTAGGCCTTAAACAGTCTTAAATATGCTTTGTCTTAAAAAGTGATTGGATTAATTAAGTTAACATTATTTGTATAAAGTACATGTTTTTGGGAAAAATCTGTATTGATCATGCTGTAAAATGAAAACAAAAAGGCAACCAATACCATTTGCCTTTATATTATTTGTTTTTTGCTAGTATGCATTCATAATGGTCTTAAAAAGTCTTCAATTTAACCTGTTGAAACCGGCAGAAACCCTGTATATGATATAAATAATATATAATGTATGAACTTTTAAAATCCTCCTAGTCATTCACTGCAACAGTACTGTAAGCTTATGTCCATTTTTTGTAAAGGGTTTCTATCTGTTGACTTAGAAGGTCTTTTGCAGTACAAACTGCTGGGTTTCTCAGGTTACTGCCAGAAACGTTACAATTATTTTAAAATATTAAACTTCAAACTACAATCATAACCTTGAATAAAGAACTGGTTTATAGGGAGTCACAAAAGCCAATGTCAACAGAAGAATCATGTAGTGGTAATTTTCAGTCATTGTTATCACTGTGGAATTTCTTGTAAGGGGGCCCTATTTCAACATATGAAGCAAGTAGTTGTTCCAGCAATAGTTACTGGCTCTGTTTAGAGGATGAAACAGTTCTGGGAACGATGAGTCCTGTTATCAGTCTGTCAGGGGCAAGTGAGTCAGTGACAATTGAGAATCTGATGATGTCTGATCATCCAACACACACACACACACACACCACACACAGACAACACCAACCAAACCAACCACACACAACACACACACACACACACACACACACGCCACAGACCACACAACCCCCCACCCCCACACAAACACACAACCACACACACATACACACATACAAAAGAACACAAACCACTTGGTTGTACCTCTTGTAAATGTCACATTACACCACAGCTCTGTGATGTCTGCTGAGTGTCGTCTCCCCTGATTTCACAGATAATGAGGATTTACTGTCACAGCCTGCTCTCTGTTAGTGTGTGTATGATTGCATTTGTTTGTGTTTAATGACACCTCTCTGTAGGCGTACATTTTGCTGTGAGCATACATGTCTAACACATGTATGTTGACATGTTTGATTAGTGTCAACCTCTTTCATGTTCAATACAAAATTATCTACATTCATTTTGTTTACTTTTTTTCTCTGTGAAGCTCCAGAGCTGGTCCTAAGGAAAGTGATCAACTTTGCCGACTGTACTGTGTGCTTGGACAAGCGGAATGCTAGTGGCAAGATCGAGTTTTACCAGGACCCGCTGCTGTACAAATGCTCCTTCAGAACACGGCTCCATTTTACCTATGACAACATCAATTCCAAGATCCCATCTGTCATCAAAGTAAGCAGCTCCACATTTCAGCCATAACCCAATAACCGCCATTATCTTGCCAAAGCTAGAAAAAAACCCTTTGTACATGGGTATTCTGATATCATTTTGCCCTAGTCCAAACATGTCACACATGCTAGTGATGGTAAAAGTTCAAATATGTCATAGCCGCTTACAGTTAGAGGAACACGTAACTTACTTTTGTGAGGTTAGCTGTTCTCGAATCAATGGCAGGATAATGACTCATTTCAGTCCATTGTTCTACACCACTGAATCAGTCTAATTTTTCTACTCATCGTCACTGGAATGGAAGAAGGTGTTTGTTGAAAATCACACATTAGAATCTTGGCTGTGGTAGCAATTTGTTTATACAGATCAGATTTTTACCATCTGAAAGTTAAAATAAGGAGATTTTGTAAACTATTATAGATTCTATCCAGAAAATTGATTTTGGCTGTCTGTGGTTTATGTTTGTCTGTATGGTATTATCATCTTTCCACTATAAAGCTATATTATGGTACATTAAATTCTGTCCCATTTATCTCTTAAACTAAATGTATCAACATGCTGAATTAAAGTAGAACTGGCCATGTTTAGAGTAGTTACAGCATGTTAGGAGCAAGTTTACTTTTGAATGTATTCTGGTGCGTCTTCTTATATTTATAATTTTTCTTAACACTGTAATATACAAAATGTTTCATGCAAACCCCTCTTTCACAGTGAAAGGTAGCTGCTGTAGATAATTACAGTAAACACATTGGTGTATTGTGTGGGTACATTTGTTTCCATTTGGACCTGACTTCTTTCATCCCGACATTGCCTATATAATAAGGGATGTCTCAACGTGTTTCTTGTTACTCTGTACTGTACATCTACTTGCATGCAGGCCATAATTTGTGGTTTGTAGCTGTAGGTCATCATATAACTTTGTTTAACAGGAACAGAAATTGCCTCTTCCACATGCAACACTCAGCATCCACCAGTTAGCCAGAGGGGAATCCATACCAGTTCTTACAGGGCCTGGGGCTCTACCCTTTTTTTTTTTTTTTTATTAAACTTGAACTTAAAAAATGTATATTATGAGGGAGCCCACCAGAAGTGGTTGGGCCTGTAGCCCATTTTACATCCCAACATGTAATTTAACAAATCAAATTTCAAAATGTAAACCGTCTCTTACGCTTTTCTTCTCTGTTTCCTTAGATCCAGACCATGGTGGAGAGCCTGAAGTTGTCCATTACTGATCAGCAGCTACCCATGTTTATCCGCATTCTAGAGCTGATTATTGCCCTCTACTATGGGGAAATCGGAGGACACAAAGAGGGAGAGGGAGAAGAGGGCAGCGGTCATGTCAGGGAGGCTGGTGCAATTTTGCCTGGTGAGTTGGGACTCTTAGGGAGGGCAGTAACAATTTTCTGAACAAACCCAAAATCTACTTTTTTGTCTCTGTTTTGTTTTTGAATTTGTAATCTAAAAAAACTATGTCTGTGAATGTTTTCAAAAAATTTAAGCAGAGTTTTTTTTTTAAACTTCTGTCAGTAGAATTTGACATTTGATGACTAGTAAGGAATTTTAGGCTGTAATTGTTTCTCTTTATTCATTTGTTTATTTACACAATAAGTATAAGAATGAGGCAGTCATCTTTTTATGGCTGAAGACCCTCCTTATTGCTGAAACCGTTGTGCTGCAGCTGCACATTTATGTAACAAACAAGGGCCATGGACAGCAAGACAAAAGTAAAAAAAAGTCACATTCTTCAACAGCTATTATTCTTTTTTATTTTATTTGCTTATTAATTTGGAAATGATATATTGAGGACTCACTAGGATGCAGCATTTGTGTGTCAGTATGCTTCCTTTAGCAGTCATATTCCTCAGACAAAATGTGGTCCAAGGCTCTGAAGTGGTTAATGAGCCATCAGACCATGCACAAAGCTTTGACTTTTTCCTTACACAGCGTTTTCATCTCATGACGCTCTGCATGTTGCCTTGTTCTGTTCAGGGGCTATGTCTGTCCATATGCTGCTGTTGTTCCTAAACGGGACATTTAACATCACTTTGACCATGGTGTGCGCTCCTCCTGCTTTTTCCACAAACAAAAGCCGGAGCGTGTAACTCAACACAGACTGTTGTCGTCAGGCCTGATCCCCTCCATGTGGGTAGAAGCAGGAGAGAGGAGGATGAAGGGAAGAAACATGGGTGAATCAAACACAGGCCCATCTCTTTCTTTGTGATCGGAGCACAATCCCCACATCCAGGAGCTGAGCAAAGCATACACAAGGAGTCGGCTTTTCTCACAGGCACACACGCACACGCACACGCACACACCTACACACACACACACACCTACGCACACACACACACCTACGCACACACACACACACATTGGACTTTAATAGCCTGCAGGGCCACCTCCTTAAAACCCCAGCCTCATTCCCCAAAGGCCCCATCTCATCTCTTCCCCAACTAGCTCCATCCTTCATCCTCCAGCCAAATAGAGCAAGATCAAATCCCAGGTCCCGCTGGGCTAAATCAGCCTCTGTAGCACCAGGAAGCCAAATTACGGTGGCAGGGGAAGTGGTGGGCAGAGGGAAGCAGGCAGCCCCAACCACAATACAGCCCATTCGCTCACTCCCTCCAACGTTACCCCTCTAACTTTTCTCACTGCCGGCCTGCGAACTTTTTACTGCAAGTTGCGCGCAGGCTTCCAGTTCGGGCTCAAATGCCAGATGTAAGAGTCGGTGTCCATGCTACTGCTATGCGGAAGTCCCCTGAGAAATGAATTAGTATCCCATCACCCAAAAGTATACAAGAGCGGGACCAGCTCTTGGAAACCTGAGCGCCCCCAGATCGTTGTTATGCTGGAAGTAATCGGACAGAGGTTTGAAGAAACTGTAACGGCGGGGGGTTGGGCTGCGGGTGGCGCGGGGCGGGGGGCCCTGGGGCGGCGGTGCGGGGGCAGCTTGTGCGCGTGTATGTACTGTAGTACTGTAGGTGGGTGTGTGTGTTTGTTGGGAGGGTTTTGGGCCTGTTCATGAACATATGGTTTTCAGTGTATTCATTTCAGATTTAAGGAGTAAAACTGAATTCTTTTGATAATAGTAGCAGAATTACTGCTCAAATGATTTATTATTTATAATAGGAAAATATAATGTGTTTTTCTTAACCACTATAGGCAGCCTTTACCATTGATAGTTCCTGAGTACTGCTACATTCATGTATGTTGACGCTTATAGTGACTGACTTGGCTTACATGCATATTTATTTTTAGTGGGTTGTAGTTTGTAGGAAACAATCATTGTCACATGATTGCTGGAACATGATCCCAGTATCGTACATAGTACTTCATCACATTCATTTGATTTCCCATAGGCTGCTTGTGGTAAATCTCTGCTGTATATTCTGGCTCAAATGCCCTCTGTGTGTGTGTGTGTGCGCGTGCGTTTGTGTGTGTGCATGTGTGTTTCTTTTCTTTTTTTTACACTTACTCTTGAATATTAATTTTTCCCCCATGTGAAGGTGTTTTTCTTTTTTCCAATTAGTGGAAGTGGAAAAAGCCTTGTAATGTGTTTATGTGCCCATGATTCACTGTGGCTGCATGTTGTTTGTTTGAATCTTTCTCTTTTAGGTAAGAGCCAATGTCTCATTAATGAATAGCCCTAATAAGTGAACAGCGCGGGATACTTGTGTGTCACTAACCAAAACAACCTTTCAGTCAGGATTAGACGGCTGGTTTTCCTACTGTCTGAAATTCAATGAAGTCTGTGAAACACTGTAAAAATTTCAGCGGTTGGAAACATAGATGACTAACATGCTTGAGTGGACCAGCTGGTCACGGCACCGAAAGATGTACGGTTTCAACAAGTATGTGAAGAATTATGAACCGAGGACTGTGGCTGTTGAAGTGTGGCAGTGTGCATATGTGTGTGTGTGCGTGCCTCTCTGTATAGCATATAAGTAAGCATGTGTATGAGTGAGTTGCACTCTGCATATGTGTATAGGACTCAGTTTTCAGTGTTTGCTTTGTAGGAGAGCCTCAGCGTCCTCAGAGGCCTATTGAATGGAATGGACAATCACACACATATCAGCCAGAGGCCATAGGCTATCTCCTGCATATAAACCTCATGTGGCTCCCTTATGCTAGCCCAGTGACGTGACAGGGCCTCTTTTTAATCATCTTTTCACTTTTTAATATTGGTGTGAAGACGTGGAGGCCATTGAGTTTAGAAGTCTATGGATGTGGATGAAACAGCTCTTTGTCTCGCAGAGTGTTTTATGTTCTCCTGCCATGACTGCTAAAATGGATTTTAAAACATTTTGATGTTAATGTCACACTATAGTGTTAAAGTGAAACAATATGTGACACACATGTTGATATGTGTTCCATTCTTTTATATCAAAGTAGATAGGCCTGTGCACCGAATTGTTTCTGTGTATGTACTGTATCACCTGTCAGGAAGTGATGAGCAGACAGATCTAATAGATCAGATAATCTGTGACTAGGCAAATGAAAGGTGTGTGTGTGTGAGTCGATGCATGAGATGACGTGCTCAGTGGTCAGGTAAGCAGTCCACCTCTCCCTCTATAAACATGGAGGGACATCTACTGGTCTGTGAGGGCACTGCCTTCTCCCACTCCTCCCCTCTCACTGTCTCAATGTCACTCAGCTGTTCACTCACTTACACACCAACTCCCTCGCTAGGTTAGACATACACTGCTGCCTGAAGACCTTGGACTCATGGAAACCAACTGTGAGTGAGCTGTCCACAAAAAAAGATGATTGGTCTCACGGTGAGGCAGAGAACAGTGGTGGTTGTATTTCACACCTGTGTGGTCACAGTTCTCTACTCCACAGCAGCATGCATTTTGGCCAGGCCCACATCACACTCTGGGAATTTTTCACTCACATCTTTGGATTAATACTTCAAAGTCTCAGCCAGTCTGTTTTGATCACTTGATTGGTAATTGTGCTGTTATTTTGATTGCCTTGCAATTCAAATGTAGGCCTCATCAGGCTGTGACGTGAAGCGAAAGAGCTTAACTTGTTGAACTGACACCTCAAAGGCTTCCATGGAGTGAAAACAAAAAGGAAAAAAAGAGAAATGAGAGATAGAATCGGACAGAGAGTTGTGGGGGGATAAAAAGCCATAACATGGGATTTCCAACTGCCAATTCGCAAAGTGAAAGATTTAATTAAAATATGTCATAATTTTCACCGCCTTAGCCTCTGGGATTCCTAAGCTGTGACCTCACGGACAATATTGTTTTCTCACAGAGGACGTGAGGCCGCGAGGAATGGGATTACACATTCTTGTGTATTGACATCAGCTTCCTTTCTCCCAACGTGTGTAGAAACACACACGATGGGACGAGTTCAGAGGTCGGGATCAGGGACCGGGGAACCTGTGAACCCCCAAATAGTTTGCAGAGAATTAGGGGATAGTGAGATAATAGAAGATTATAGTGAACACCATTGTCTTTTGTAACACACAACATCATCATGCTAGTCGACTTAGATTCCCATTGGTTACTTCCCAATTTTTGCTAAAGTTTTCTGTTGCTGAAACAAGGACTAGCCTGTTTTCACTTTTCAGCTCCTATTTATTTGTAACCCAGTGCCCATTGGTATGTCCGGCTCATTGGTATGTCTGGGCAGTCTTACGTTCCCACACCACTTTCTAATTTGCCGTCTTCACCTGGTGTGAGGCCTGTGCCTTACAGTAGCCAGTGCTCCAGTCAACGCCTCATGCTTAGGCGCAGAGGGTGTGACAGGTCACTCCACCTCCTCCAGCTAATCTTGTACAGTCCTATAGTCGTCCTGTCTCATCTACACCTGCACCCATGATGGCTCATAGCTACCCAGCCTCCCTCATGGCCTCATTTCAGTCTGTTGGCTTCTAAACAACTATGAGACCCAACCCCATGCTGCATGCGTTTGTGGATGCGGCCTGTGCTGTTGGGTCCAGTTCAGACAGCCCTGACCACAGTGATCCACTTGGGCCCCGTCAAAGCACTTCTCTGTCAGGATGCTGGCTGACAGGCTGTGCCCTCTGGCCTCCGTTGGAATGGACTTCCCCTCTCCCTCTAGAGTTCATGCTGCAGACATATACTCACACACCTGCATGCTGGAGCATTGGCAGCAACTACTGTGAAACTGCCTTGGTCTGTGCTGTTTTTGTGTGTTCAGTTGACAGCTGAAACATCTTGCTTGTATCAAACTACCCTGGAGGCATGGACAAATTAATTAAGTGTGCTGCATAGTGCACAAATACTTCCACTATCAACAGTTTTCTCTCTGTTTTACCAGTTTGTTCTCAGATCCTGCCTTTTTAAATTGTTTGTTTATCTGTTGGAGTAAAAGCATACTAAGGGGGGATTCGAGTCATCTGAAACCTTTATTGAATGTATTATAAATTTGGCTGCACCATTGTGTACTTTTGAAGTTTGCATTGTAACTGCCAACTGCAGGTGCTAACCCACCCTGACCTTTTTTCCCATCACTATTGAAGCTACTGTGGAATCATATTATATTGGCATTATAATTAATTGAGACTTTTTTTTTACCCTTCAGGGATGGATGTGGATCTGGAAAGCCAGGGGACTAGCCAGTACTCCAGCCCAGATCTCTACATGCTGTCTGAAGAGACAGACCAGGGTTGGGTGTCCTGGGCTTGGTCATTCGTCCCTGCCATCGTAGGCACAGAGGATGAAAGTGAGGAAGGCCTCTACCAGCAACTAGAGACAGGAGGCATCCCTAGCAACCCCCAACAACACACACCCAAAGACCCCATTGTTTCCATAGGCTTCTACTGCACCAAAGCTTCTGTTACCTTCAAGGTAAATCGACTGTCATCATTCATATATGTCACGTTGGGGCTGGAATGTATGCCAGCATATACTGGGTGAACAACAGTTATATTTGTTGTTGTGTAAAATATCAACTAAATGTCAAAACGAAATGGCCAGATGGATGAAATACTTCTATTTTCAGCATGGCTTGAAAGTATTTCACATTATACTGACATTAAATAAATGTTGTATGAATGTGATTTAGGCTTAAGATGTGCTTTTGAAATAATTAAATGTATGTATGGGTAGATCCTAAAGATAAAAATGTGTATGTCTTTAATATGTGTATTACACAAGGGGTCGTTCCAGTTTGTTTTGGGGGTTGTCATGGTAAGTCAGGAAATTCTTGGGGAAATTCTGTAGATAATGGTATTTAATGTTAATATAGAATTTCCTGATTTAAGATATTGTTTTGTTAACAATTACAGTTTTTTTCCTTGCTATCCTTACTGTTTATTCGTTCCCACTGCCCACCCCACCCCTGCATCTTATATTTTGAGCCTTAAAGAACAGTTTGATTCTCAGGAAGTTACAATCCTCTTTGTCTCTGTGTGCGGTACAAGGGAGGGTAGTGTAACCGCTAACTGGCGTCTCGGGTCACGTTAATGTTTTAAACATTATACATGGTATGATGACTATTCAGAAATGGATCCCAAACTTTAATCCTGCCTGCTCACTCAGAATAGTTGGAATTCATCTGCGTTTCCCCTCAGGTTCAGGCACTTCAGATCACATTACTGCTTGTGTGTGTGTGTGTACTTCACAGTGTGTGTGATCAGTGAAGGGGAGGTATGTCTCAGGCCCAACAGACCATGGTGCTTTTCTAATAATGTTTAAATTGTTCCTGTATTGTTTGAGTTCTTTTAATCAATTAATTGCCTCTCGTCTGGAGTAATTGCACACAGCTGAAAGGATGGTTTTTTAAACGTTCTCGTCTCTTTCCTACAAGGAAGTATTTAGTTTGAGGGAATTTCATGTCTTTGAACAGCCACTGCCTGAACCTGAGTTTGACATGGACATGAAATCAGAGAGGTATTTTTAGATTGCTGACCCATTACTCCCCAGATCTGTTTGATCAAAGAAATTGGCAGTATGCTTTAATGACTTTTACACACATAATACATAGTTCAGCACTGACCATTTGTTCCCCTCTTTCACTTTTGCACACATGCCAAACTCTCATTGCATGCCAGACTTCACTTTTCATTTTAAGAAACATTGTTTCTCTATTTTTGCTATTTTCATTTATTTCAACAATAGCAAATTTAAAGTCTTTTTCAACTTTTCCATCAGATCCTTTCCACCGTGTTACATTTCTTAGAAATGGACATAAAGATAAAGTACCCCAATATTCACATCCAACGTTGTAACATTTCCAAAATGCCTCATAAAGAATCATTTGATTTGTGTTGGACTCCAAAAGCCTTTAAATGGGTTGGAATATAATAAAGGAGAAGTAGCAGGGAAGATGGTGGCAGCAGTAGCTCTGTGTATTACTTGCTGTATTATGCGTTTGTGTTGCTATGTGGCTTTTCTGTCCTCTTTCTGCTGTGTTGTTTCAGGCCTAGGTACAGTTAGAAATGTCCCACCAGTCTAGCTTGGGCAAAATTCTTATTGGATAAACATTCATCATGTTCGTGTCTGTCTTCTGTGTCAGTGCCATAATGCACTGATATTGTCAGGCAGAGCAGTTCTTTAGTCAGATTATTTAACATCATTGCTCACTGCTGGGGTGCCGTGGTCCCTGCATGTGATTAAACCATCGGAATCGAAATAGGGGAAGGGAGCGAGGGTGAGAGAGTCTGCTCCATCAGTAGGGATAATAAGGCACAGCTGCTTTTTGCTCTGCACCTGCTTCCTGTGTTAAAGTTGAATGGGTTAGGGCCTGCACAGTTCTGCTCTACACCCACAGTTTTTAGACTGGCCAGCCTCAAAAGCATCACAGCTCTGTGCCCCACTCACCTCAACCAACCAGATGCTCTCTCTCACTGCCTCCACACTGTCTCTACACACCATTAATGCTCTAATGAACAATCCCTCTTCTTTCATCAGTTTACCTGACTACTCAATGTACAATTGTACAATTATCCGTTTTGGCCCTTGGTATACTTGGTGCTTTAGTCATGTTCTGATTGTCATCCCCAATAAAGCCAGAGAGGCCCCCCCCTAGAACTGGAGAGGAGTGGCTGTCATGTGGTTTGATGAATGTCTTTGGCCCCAGTCCAAACTTTGAAAAGAAAACGACCAAAAAGTCCCAAGGCTGGCATCCAGTCTGTGATCTAAGAAAATGTCATCTGTCCTTGTTTGGATGTTATTCTTTCTGGTTTTAAGCATTATTTTCCGGGGCCTCATTGCCCTTCACATCCAAGACTTGCACAGCTTTTGTTTATTTTTCAAATCATGCATCTGTTTCAGCAGTGAATTGCGGGTACACACGCACACACACACACACAATGGATTCCAAGTTTTTACTGCTGCATTTTTATGACATCCCTATTATTGCTGTAACCTTATTCTGTCAAACAAAACTTAATTTTCCCTTACCGTCTCACAACATTTTAAGGTGGCAAAAATCTCCACAAAATCTCCACTACTGCAATTTTAAAGGGACAGAGACCCCAAAATCAAAAAAAGTGTGAGTTGCTGAGTATTGAAGATATGGGCCGTAAAGATGTCTGCCTTCTCTTGAATATAATGGAACCAGATGGCACTCAGCTTGTGGTGTTCCCAGCGCCAAAAAAGTACATTGGAAAAACTCAACAGCAATGTCTCTTTCCAGAAATCATGACCCGGTTACTCAAGGTATTCCTCAGACCTTGTTGTGAGCAGTTTCATAGAGGAACTCATTTTCTCTACTGAACTGCACCCACAAATTGAAGCTGAATGTTGACTATCTCAGTGGAGCTAGGTGAGCTAGCTAACGTAACAGCTCAGCCGGGGAGGACGCCATTAATGTTTACATCCTGCGCTGTCACAAGCATGAACCTCTTGTCCATGAGTAGATCCACTCTTCCTTCTGCGCGGTGGTATGTAGACAGAAAATAGTTCCTACATGAAACTGCTCACAACAAGGTCTGTGGATTATCATGAGTAACCGGGTCATGATTTCTGGAAAGAGACATTGTTGTTTTTCAAAGGTGTGCTTTTGGGTGCTTTGCACCACAAGTGGAGTGCCATCTGGTTCCATTATATTCGAGAGAAGGCAGACACCTCTATGGCCGATATCTCTAGATGGATAAATAGCACTACAGGTAAGAGGAAAAATCTGTATTTTTGATTTTGGGGTGAGCTGTCCCTTTTAAGACTTGTTGTTTGGTTTTGATCTGGATTTACCTTTTGGATCCAAAACTGTCACAAAGCCTTAATGATTTTACTAAATGAAACTTTGTAAAGGCTTAAGTTTTCACAGTCTGTTCCTTTGATGTGTTTTTTTGTGACACCTGTAGAAGCGTTTCAATTTATTTTCATAAATTAAATAAACGTATATCTTTGTTTTTTATTGGAGTGAATTTTTGACCGTTCTGAAGAATATTAAATGGATTCTGTCTCTCTGTGTTTTGTCTCAGCTGACAGAGACCCAATCAGAGAGCAGCTACTACAGTCCTCAGAAGGTCAAGTCCAGAGAGGTCCTGTGCATGGAGCACGAGGGAATCACTATTGAGGTGAGAAACAAGTCGCCTAAAAAATATGTCCATTGTAAAAGAACTATGCACAGTTTATGGAATTATAGCCTTTTACTGATTTATTTATGCTGCTGTTTTTAATCAGTAAATGTCTACATTCTATGTAATAAACAGGGATTTGCTACACTAACCAATTACAGCTTTTTCGAGTTTAACCAAACAACCAAACAGCCCGAAGTCCAGTCCAGATGATTCATAACTGGTCTTATCATATTAGAAATGAGCAAGAGAAATGGAATGTGTTATTGTTACATTTATTGTTATTGAGACAAATGTGAAAACGTATCCTGATACAGATTTTAGATCATATGGTCTATCTCTGCATTGTAACCAATATAGTCTGACTATTATTATTGTCAAATCAATATCATGATACATCATATCATGACAAAACCATGAATTTTTAACTACAGCGACTGATTTTTCTAGAGATATCTGCCCTCCACCAGTTGTACCCATCTGGAAAGCAACCCGTTACCCATCATGGCCAGAACAAACCAATAAAGATGTCCTCCCTTTTGATCCTTCATGGTTATTATTATTGTCTCCTTATTCACTGTTGGACAGAGGTTCCTCTTAATTCCCTCCTTAAGTACATTTATAAAGCCTCTCCAGGTCACTAATCCGTGGCCTGTTGTGAACACAGTGGAATCTGTGTCTGAGTCGAGCCCAAGTCTGATCATTTCCGCATTTCCCCCTCGGCGTAGAAAATATTTTTAAACCTTTTTCTCTGATTACCTGGTTGGAGAAGGAAAGGAGTTTTCTGCTCCTAAGCTTTCTACCAGATGTGAGAATTCTGAGAGATTTCCAATTCCAATTTCTGTAATTTATGCTTTTGCTGGAAGAGAGAGAGAGAGCAGTCTGAACTGGGACCAAAAGTGAGAGCGTTGAAAGGCAAAGGGATGGCTAGTAAAACAGGGAAAACTAGGCCTTGTAATTATTGTGTGGTAAAACGTAAAGTTTTATTGGATTGCTCTCTGTTTAGTTGTCTGCTGGGTGAAGCAAAGCCACGGTGAGTGAGGGAGAACCACACCTTGCTGGTTATAGGGGCTGCTGGACTGCTACCACACCTACACACCTACACACACACACGCACGCATGCACACACCACTCTCTAGGGGAAATGGAAGCTGTCTGACCCCTGCTCTTTTTATCACAATGAAATGAGCCCACAACCTCAACAGCACCACAAACCAACGTAGCCTCAAACTGGTCATGGTGGAGAAGCTTGTGTCCACAATAAATTTGGTCTTGAACTGTCATTAATTTCACATTTAATTTTTTATTGCGACGTAAAAAGGTAATTCAATCAAATTAATTTCTGTGAATTATTGCACTGTTATGGTTTTACTGGGCTTCTGTTGACTGATTTACATCCTGGGTGTTCTCTTTGGAGAGGAAAGCATTCTGAAGCTGGCATTTTCCCCATTCTGTTTAGTTTTAACTTATCTCACACTCTCACACCTTCGAGTCTAGCCAATTATATGAAAATACATTTTAATTAACTAAAAGGTTGCCTTTATTTCTAACTGTACAGGCCTTTGTATTTGTTATACATTCACTGGTAGAAAAAGGTTTATTCAGAGTGTATCCAGTATCCACATTGTTCTTAATGTAGTAGTGAATAAAATCTGGAGTATAAAAACTGGTTAAAGTCTTTTCCTCTGCTTTTTATTCCAGGTGCTGATGATGGGGGAGCCCTTCTTCGATTGTCAGATTGGCTTTGTGGGCTGCCGGGCACTCTGCCTGAAAGGCATCATGGGAGTACGGGATTTTGAAGAAAACATGAACCGACGTGAAGAGGTAAAGACAGCCTGAAAACCTCAAGGAAAATAGAAAAAAAGAGGAAAAAAACCTGAGTGAGAAAGATTAAAAGAGAATTTAAAAGCCTAGAAAAGAGATCATTTTCACCTAAACCATGTCTCCTGCAGCCTCTATTGCTCCCAAGAGTTTTCAGAAGGAGGTAGAGATGTGGTCTGGTTTGTTTATGGAAGAGTGTGATCCAGCTGCCTTTTGTAATTCACCATAATGTTCTGTGTTTGCCACATACATCACTGTGTCAACAGCAGTCTCTCCATCCCTCATGTACATTAATGCTTTTGGGCTAAATTGAAATCATTGTATTTCATTAACTATGTGTCAACTGCGTATTTTTAATGGTTATTTTTCTACGGTTATTTTTAAATTGTGTGTTAACCTATGATGTGTTACATTTAATTGAGATAGTAAATTATTAATATTGAAGAGTTTGAAATACATCTGGATTTGTGTAGTATGAGCTTGATTTTGCGGCAATTTAAATATTTTTCAATATTTCTGACATTCTCTGTGCATCCTCTCGTTCATACTTCTCCTTTTCCTTCTCTCTTTTGTGTGTCTGTGTGTCTGCAGGATGCAGTGTTCTTCAGCTGTGGGGACAGCCTAAACAGTAAAGGAATGACCTACCTTACCAACTCTCTCTTTGACTACCGCAGTCCAGAGAACAACGGAGTCAGGGCTGAGTTCATCCTGGATGCTGCTAATCACAAGGTTGCTATAAACTGAGATAGTTTATGTCTCCAGCCCCAATTCTACTGTACCAAATAATACTGTTCCCAAACTTATTTATTTTGGAAATTTTATTTGGGGGAAAAATATGTTTTCGTGGCTTATAAAAGGCTTGGATGGAAGGCCAAAATACAGTAGCATGCAGACCATGTATTTCAGATTGAGATCCTCTGAGATGATCTACCTCAGAGCAGCCATGCAGCTACATCAGTAAAACAGATGCCTGTAGTGAATCCAACCACGTTTGTGACCTGTACAGTACATTCACAATCAAGAGTTTTGCTTTTTGTTTTTTTCAGAAGACTAACCACTGAGAATTCAAAGGACACCCACAGAACTGATAGCAGAGACTAAACCATATGGCAAAAATTAGCAGTCCGTTCCAAGCCAGGCCAACAACCAACTCAACACGCACCTCACAGCTGGGCCGACTGGTCTACACAGCAACAGACTTATTCAACTAACAGCAGTGCTCTGAAAAATGCATTAAACATAATGAACTCACTAATGCTGTTTACTTGAACAGCACCTGCCATTGACACAGTCCTCACTAAACGAAACATCTGTAGAGCTGTGCTTGTCAAGCTGTTGAGAGAACAAATATTCACACGACTGATGTAAAGACATTTTATTAAGACATAACTTTCTTTATTTTCAGAAAGGATTCACTGCCAAGCCAGATAACAAAAAAATGTTCCTCAGTGTTAGTGTGGGTATAGCTAAAGTGACTTGCCAAAGTGAGCACACTTTGCTAATACAGTAGTTTATCTGGGTCAATAAACAATAATCTGATATAATTACATCCTGTCTTTCTTTAGGTTTCATCTGGAAAAGCTGTAATGACAGCTGTTACCTTATTTAGTGGTCCTAACTTACTACAATATTTTGTCCTTTTAAACTCTCAGTAACTTATCTTCTAAATAAGTCCTTTTAACTTAAATCGCTGCCACTTAAATTATTTCTGTCAGTCACCCAGCTGCTGGCTGCAGTAGAGGAATGTTCCCGCTATCTAAGTAGTAGTGTTAAAGCCATTATTCCTGATAAGTCTCAGCTCCCCTCATCAGCCATCACAGCTTGAGTGTTGACTCTGCTCAGAAATGTTCATGACCCTCAATGAAGCAATTGTTTGGACATCCATCCATCTATCCATACTTGAAAGTCTTAAGAGTCAAAGGTTTTAGTGTTAATTCATTAGCGGTTTTGAAACCAGCCAATGGCTTTGATCCAAAAGCATGCCAGAGCCATTAGAGGTCCCCTAATAAATATTACTCATTAACCTGCCTCTCTGATAAGGCTCTATTGAAATCTCTGTTAAGAGAACTAGTGGGTAAGTCTGGGGAGGGGATGTTAAATGTGTGTGTGAGAGGGGCCTCTCTCATTCTCTCTGTGTTTCTTGCTTGCTCACTCATTCTCTCTGTTTACCAGTGGTTTGATATGCAGTAGAAGTATAACTTTGAAATATTGTGTAGGACAGGGTCAATAGCTCTTGACCCACAGACTAATAGATTATGACACTAACAAAACACTGACACACAGGTAGATCAGAAATAAGATAAAGATCCACAGTTCTTTGACCTATATGTAGGTTGTATTTGTTAATAATGACATTAAACAAACAGGGGTGACACAGGTCTTTAGTGCTTAGTCACCTGGGCCTGCCAGCTGGGGTTTTTCTTAGAGGAGTTTTTATGTTGTTCCTGTGTCGGTTCCACTTTCCTGTGGGTGCTCTGGTGTTCTCCCATAGTCCAAAGACATGCAGGTTTAGGCCAAATGGAAACTATAAATTGCCCATAGGTCTAAATGTGTGTGTGTCTATATATGTTAGCACTGTAATAAACTAGTGACCTGTCCAGGGTGTACCCTGCCTGTTCCCTTATGTGTGCTTGGATGAGCTGCAGCGCCCCTTCAACCCTGAAGACGAAACCTACTGTTTCCATCTGGCTACTTTCTAACACTGTTTTCAGTGTTAGGTAACTGACAGCTGTAAAGTACACGCATTGCTTACAGGTACATTCTACATTACACTCATGCTTTTAAAAGCTGCACCTTGCTATCTTGATAAATATTTCCCAATAAAATTTCACAATTTTATATTGAAAGTATCAACCATAATCCCTGTCAGACAAGTTTGATTTGTTGTGAAAAAGTCCAATCTTTTAGTAGATAAGATACGTATTTTACAGTGGCATATGTCCAAGCACCAGTTGAATGAGGAAACTTTCACTTCCTTTTATCAATAGCTTATTACTCAATAAAGAACAGACTTGATATCTAATAAATTACTTCCCTGTGCACTGTTGTAATTTGACCCCAGATTAGAGACATTGCTGTGATCAAGTATCTCCTTTCATTTCATGTTGTTCCAAATATTATAATTAATTATATAATTCCAAACATTAGTGATATTGTTTGCCAGTAAAAAACAAAAAGAAATCCTACTAAGCAGATCAACCCGTCAATAACTCTTTTTTTTTAATCTCTGATTTGACCCCCTTATCCACCGTCGTATCCACCATGACCCCAGTCACTGCCACTCTTAAATGCTATCAGCTTGTTTGCTCCCTTACTGCCATGTTTACCTAAATCTACTTTTGTTTGACAGGAGACCTACACGGAGATAGCAGGCATGCAGCGCTTTGGTGCTTTCTACATGGATTATCTCTACACAATGGAGAACAGCAGCAGCAAAGGTATTGTCTAATTCATTCCTCCTTACAGAGCTTGTTTGCTCACCTCGCCACCTCTTCTCTCTTTCTCTTTATATCTTACATGTTCTCCTTTTCTTTGCCTTGTTCCCTCTTTCTTCCTATCTATCTTAAACTCTCTTGTGTCTTTCCATCGCTTTCTCTCTCTCCTCTTCTCTCTCCTCTGTCAAACAAGCCTCCTGGAGACTTGAAAGAAAGAGTTTGTCTTGTTTGAGTCACAGCCACCTGGTCCTTGACCCTTCCTGTCCTCGCTCTCACCCCAAACTTACCTGGAGGGCAACTGTCAGAAGTGTTTAGTCTGCGCAGACACGTATTTGAGTTTCTTTCTCCCCGCTGCTTGTTGAAACATTGTTTCCCTCTGTCTCTTTACCTGTAAGCTGTTGAGAAAGTGAATAGGCTTCTCTTGCCTAATTAGGTGTCACTCTTCCTGGCAGAAGCCTTAAGACGGGCAGGATTTTTCATTCCTCAGCTGCAACACTGAAGAATGTTTATTCAAGTCTGAAAGATCTGAAGTTCCCATTAAGAGATAAAACACCCTCCCTTCAATTTGAAATGTTGTATTTGGCCCACAAATGTCTCTGTGCTTTATTGTGTGATTGTTGAGCATTTTATTTCAATGCTGCTGGAAAGCTGCTTTCTGTGTAGTTATGACAGTGACACCTGACTGACATTCACAGGTTTTAAGTAAAAAAAAAAATACTCTTACATGCTCAGCACAGAAATTGGATTGAATCTACATAAAGTGCAACCCCTTCCTATGTGTGATGGCATACGTGTAATAGGATAGCTTCGTAGCCTATGTGTCACTGAATGTTAGAAGAATGTAGAAATGGTGTGTTGGTGCTTCGTGGAGTCACAGGAGTTTTTACTGAAAATCTGTTTGAATGGCTTGAACAGATTGATTAATTAGGAGTCTAAAGCCACCTATGTTGTTCCACTTGCCTCCCTCTTTCTGTTTTTCACTTTGCTTCTCTCTTCCTCTACCTCTTTCTGACTAGGCTATTGTTTCCTCCTGCTGTCAGCTACAGATAAAAATCTAAATTAAAAAAAAACATTGATACTGTCATCCTGAGCTGTCAAAGTCATTTCTGACAGCAGGATGAGTGTCATTCTCTTTTCCTGCGGGTCGGCTGTGGTTACCCCTGCCAATTGGAATGCTTCTCTTCTGTCAGTGTTTCTCTTCTTCTCGGACGCGGACCAGATCCAGTGTCAACCAAACAAATTAGCTTCCATTGCCATGGGACTGACATAAACTCTGAGTCAACCGAAATACTAACCAACCCGGGTCACACTCACTATTGACTTCACATTAGAGTAATGCTGCAGATTAAAAACTTTTTTTTAATGTTGGGAAATGGAGACACTTTTAAATCGTCTAAATCCCGGCTAATTTCAGCCTCCTCATCATTCCACTGACCGTTCTAACTGCAGCCATATGGTTGATATTAGGCCTAATCCATTGCAGCCAAATGTCACTTAGGAAGGGAAGGGGAAGTGGCATTGCCCATTGCAGAATTCAGTGGGAGGTTCACCCCCGTCCCCCAGCCTTTTCAGCTTAAAAAAAGTTAAATTCATACATAGTGTGGTCTCTCTGAGCTATAAGAAATGTTCAGTGCAGTGGTGGAATGTAATGGGAATAAAGAAAGTTGTGAACTTTGTCCTCTTCCTCCCTCACTGCCATTCATCCACCCCCTTCTTTTATTTTTAATTTCTCCCTTTTTATTGCCGGGGAGCTGAGTCTTTTAAGTGGACCTCTGGAACAGGGGCCTGCGATGAATGAAGGGACAGCTGTGTGAGAGAAGTGGACATTTGGAATATTCATCATTCCAGTGGTTCACAGCTATGTGAGCTGCTCCCTGCTGCTGCATTACACCACTGCCATCTCTGTTGTGTTTTCACCCAACAAATGAGGAGATTATAAACTTGATTAAGAAGAGGCATATGGAGAAAAAATGTTGCTGCCCTAAATGTCAATGTAAAAACTCTGTACATTAAATAGCTTATATAATAACATAATATATATTTTAAGCGTGTAATGCATGTGTCTTTCTGTTCGTAGGTTCTCAGGACTTCTCGGTAGTGAGTATAGAGGAGGTAGTGCCTGCTGTTCAAGAGACATCCATCAAGAGGCTGGTGGTGGGACCCCTGGATGTCAGACTGCACAGCAGCGCTGTGCACCGCATCCTAAAGATGGTCACTTGTGCCATGGACCACGAGTACGAACCCTACTGCAAACCACAGCAAGGTTAGGCATGCTCTTTTTTATCTGACTTTCTTCTATTCTGCCAATGATCAGAAAAGCAACAGTCTGCACTTTACAGTATCCTCATCACATTGTTATTTCCTTGCACAACCACTCTTTCAACACACAGCTGTACATGAAAGTAGTGACCTTTTGGACCACATGAGGGAGGATAAGCCAAACACCTTTGTTAGTGATCGTCCCTGCACAGCTATTGATGAGCTCATCTCTGGGATGTTGTGAAAGAACATGGAATGTGTGTCTGTGTGTAATATCTGTAGCAATAACTCTCATATTTGCAAAATGATAACATCCGTAGGTTTCGGTTGTTTCAGCATCTGCGATAGATAATAGATGATGGGGTAATTACTATAGAGCTTTTGACTAAAGCTGGGTAGGTCAGTGTGTTCCTTCCTGTTTCTATATGTGTCTGTGCTCTCTGGCGTTTTCTGGAGAAGGGTCAGTATAGTTAGGCCCCCGGGGGGGATTGAGAAATTGAGAGGAGATAAAAGAGGAAACATTTTTCACCAAGGTAGCTATGACAGATGGAGTGATAAAATAACACATGCCTTTCCTAAATCAAATTCTCCTTTCCTTTCTCTCTCCTCTCCCCTTTCCTCTACTCAATTCAATTCAGTTCAATTCAATATGCTTTCTTGGCATGAATGTCAGGAACAATTTTGCCATGGCGTTAATAAGGTCAAAAAAAGAAAAATACAATTTATTTAAAAAATCTCTCTCCTCTCCTCCACTCTCCTGTAGTCTCTTCTCTTTATTGGCATGAAAGTTTAAAGAACAATTTTGCCAAAGTACAGTATCAAAGTACAAATTTACCAAGTATTTGGACAATACTTATCTTAATACACAAACACAGTGATATTAGCTATAACACAACATTATACAAAAACAGTATATCAACATTAAAATTGTCCAATGGTATGTGTGACTGTAACTTTGTGTGTGTGTAATGTTTAGGGGAGGATAAAGGATTACATTTCAAATAACATATCAATAGTGTGTGTGTGTGTGT